TGACTCAGTGACAATGGGTTTGCCACTATATAGATAGGGTGATGGTGTGCCGTGTAGCTGGTTCTGAATCATACTGACCCTGTTATAGGGTTTCCAAGGAGTCGCTGGTGAGCTTGAACTCAACAGCACTTAACAGGAACATATATATGTGTGTGTGTGTGTGTGTGTGTGTGTGTGTATGTGTATATATAAGGAGCTCTGGTAGCGTAGTGGTTATGAATCGGCCTGCGAACACTAGGTCAGCAGTTCAAAACTACCAGCCGTTCTGTGGGAGAAAGATGAGGCTTTCTGCTCTCGTAAAGATTTACAGCCTCAGAAACCCTGTACAGGGTTGCTATGCATCGGAACCGACTCCACAGCACATAACAACAACAACATGTGTGTGTGTGTGTGTGTGTATATATATATATATATACACACAAATACATTTTTTTTTTTCTTTTTAGGCCTGGTGACAACTTCAAGCCTGTACTCTCAACTTCACTTTGGGGTGGAAGATAAAACAAGCTCAAGAGTTTCAACAGAAGCAGTAGAGCACTGCCTCTGTGAGGAACAGAACCGGCACTTTACCAACAGGGATATTGTGACTCTAAGGTGGGGGTAGAGATCCTGGGTATACAGTATATGCTCTACCCTCACAGGGAGGATGAGAAGGCAAAGGATTTGAAGTGGTGGTCATACTGGATGCTTAGCACAGGTGATTCTTCCTAGTACTACAACAATACATCAGAATAAATTCACTCTTCAGCCAGCCAAGTCAACTAGAATGGCCTATAGAGAAAGGAACAGAAGACAGGTAAATTTTTATGAGACAAGAGTGGGGTGATGCAGTTAATTATGTCATATGTCTTTTCAAGAGAGCCTTTGCATCTCCCACCAAACAACTTTGTTGCCTGATAGGTCTGGGTAAGAGAAAGCGGGAGAAGATGTTGATAGAATTATATGAATCAGTTATGAGGGATTATTAGCAGAGTTAATTATGAAAACGTGGAACTCTAATGTGGGTATAAAAATGAGCCATCTCAGGAGCAGTGAAGGAGGGGAGGTGGATCTCACTACCAGCAGCAAAGTGCGGAAGGAGGGAATCTCATTACCATCAAAGAAGAGCCAGGAATAGAGCGCATCATTTAGACCCTGAGATCCCTGCACACTGAACCTCCTCAGCCCAGGGACAGAACGCTTTGACCTTAGAGGAGTAACAGAGCAGCAGCAGCAGCAGAACCAGGAGCCAGAGCATGAGACACAGCAGTGGGCTTCTGAGTCCATGGGCAGGAGACTTGTTTGTAGAGTGGGATGCTTCCAGACACTTAATTGGAAGAGTTACGTTTGCTGACCCACAGAACTAGAGCCGAGTGCTTTCAGGTTGAGGGTGATGGTGGAGCGGTATGCTCTAAAATAGCTTTGTAACGTTGTCGCAACAGGGCAGAGACCAGGCCCAGGGGTTGAGGGCCAGAGAGACGTCTGCTTGTGGGCATGGCCGAGAAGCTGACTGGAAGAACTATGCCCTGAACATTTCTGACCCTGAATTGTCACTTGTTAACTTCCCTAATAAACTGAGTTTGCTGTCAGAGTTCTGTGTGGCTGTAGTGATGACTTATCCAAGCCAGCTGAATGTAGAGCACTGTGGGTGGGATGGTTGGTCCTTTTGACTTTTTACAATTGATAGAAGGACAAGTTTAGGAAAGTTCCTAAACATGGGATACCAGTCACAAGACAAATGAACATCAGGGTGGAGTTGTTGCTGTTAGGTGTCATTGAATTGGTTCCAACTTTCATAGCAACCCCATGGACAAGAGAACGAAGCACAGCCCAGTCCTGGGCCAGCCTCACAACTGTTCCCATATCTGAGCACATTGGTGCAGGCACTATGTCAGTCCATCTCACTGAGCGCTTTCCACTTTTTCACTGACCCTCTACCAAGCATGATGTCCTTCTGATAACATGTCCAAAGTACATCAGACAGTTTTGCCATCCTCCTTCTAACGAGCATTCTGACAAGAGTTAGAGAAGAAAAAGTCCATGGGAGCCCATGGGTCAGGATTCTGAAGGGGTAAAAAGAACAGGTATGAAATGTGGATGCTCAAAGGACCTCAGAGAGTACTTGTAATTCTAAACAGCCTTTTCAATATCAAAATGTTGAGTGAATGATTGCCAATGTGCACACACACAAGATAACCTACTATACATTTAGAAACTTTGTTGCTTTTTATAAAGGCAAAAAAAAAAAAAAAAAAGGAATTCAGAAATGCTTTGAACAAATACACATTAGCAAGTGCTAGACAACTAACTGGACAGACTCCTAGTGTGGTGCTGTAGGATAAGCACTAGACTACAAACAACAAACAACAAGGTCAGCAGTTCAAACTCACCAGCCACTCTTTGGAAACCCTACAGAGGATGGCTATGAGTCAGAACTGACTCACAGCATTTAACAACAGACAACTAGCTGAATGGATGACAATTGAAATCCCCCCAGAGATGCCTTAAAAGAAAGACCTTGGGTTTTGCTTTCAAATGTTCACAGCCATGAAAACCATATGAAGCAGTTCTAGTCTGCACACTTGATATCGCGAGGAGTCAGACTAGACTCAGTGATAACTAGTTCATATGTGAATATTTGAAAATAATACATGTATCTGGGCCAAATAGATGTCAGTTTAACATGTAAAGAGATTTTTCCGACACATTCTTTAGAGAGACAGGATGAGGATGAAATTCAGTATGCATTACAAGTAACACCCATCTTAAGTACTGACCTTTATGTCTAGACTAATGTTAAAGCTTTCCAGCAGTGTTGGATTGCCCAATAATCATAGGCTTATTTGTGCTTACTTACTCATCTGTAGTGAACAATTTCACACTTTTTCACTACATCCAAGATTCTGCATCTAGATATGATTGGCATCTGTCTCTTTCCAAACCCCACAGCACCTTCCTACAGATTAGTAAATAAGCCTACACTTACCCTGCTTATTGAGTAATCCACCCGTTTTCCACTGACAGCCTGCCCCAAGTTCTCTCTTTCAGTCATCCTGAAACCAATGTATAAATCTAATCCTTTACTCCTTGCTTATGTGGAGAAAGTAACTTTCAATAACTCCCTATTGTCTACAAAATTTAATATTAACCTCTTAGTATACAACAAGATTCTTTCTCCTGCTTCTCCCCAGTGTCCTAGACACATTGACATCTCCCAGCCCCCACCTCCTAGGTTCCGCAGTTAAAGCAGATTTGAGCTCCTGTTTTTTGCAGCATTCACCCCACCCCTATCCTGACTCCACATTACCTGCTTGTTTCCCTTGTGCTAAACCAGCTTTGGAGTCCTGGTGTGGCACTGAGGATTAATGCGCTGAACTGTAAGGTCAATTTGAACTGCAAGATCAATGGTTCAAGCTCACAGGCTGCTCTTCAGAAACCCTATGCAGGGATACTATGAATGGGAACCGACTTGAGGGCACTTACCAATAACAAACTCAGTTGTAAGGAACCCCAGTCTTGGTAGCATAGTAGTTACGAGCTGGACTGCTAACTACAAGATCAGTAGTTCAAATCTACCTCTATCAACTGCTCTGTAAGAGAAAGATGAGGCTTTTGGCTCCTGTAAAGACTTACAGCCTCAGAAATCCTACACTGGGTCACTATGAGTCCAGAACCAACTTGGTTGCACATCATCACCATGTAGGTGCTCAATAAATACTTATTAAAATCAATGAATGGATAAACGAATTATAGAAAAACATTAGAAAAGCGTGTCCCAGGATAGAGTTGTAATCATAGGCCAACAACTTTTTGATAACATTACTACTGGAATGGCACTTTACTGATAAAACTGAGCCACATAGCTAAAACATCATTTTTTAAAGTTCTACGAGGAGACAAGAAGAATGTAAGTCTTCCCTTATGTAAGAAGGACTGTGGTACTTGGAACTAGGAAGGGAATAGGTAGTTTGCTTCCAGACTCCAATTTTTAGAAACTCTTGTTCCTTGCCCTGCCTACCCAGGCAAAATCCTGCAGCAGCCAGGCCTGTGGAACCTAACAGGCCCGGTAGGACACTTCCAGGGGTTCCCAGCAGAAAGGTGGACGTCCTCCAGTCTTCCACAGGCCCAGAAGAGCTCCCCAAGGTTCCAGGCTACCCGCATTCGCAGCTCCTACGGAGTCACCTCAATGGTCTCTGACAGACAGTCCCAAAGAGACGCCCCACTACCTCCACATCAGGCTCTAAGTTTTATTTCCAAATTTTTAATGGATAGTCTTCCTTTGCTTTTGTGTCTGACTTGACTGAAAAGAAGAAAAAGGAGTTTGACTCATTGGTTAGAACTAGAGAGCCTCGATTCTCACTTTTCTTTATAAAGTTTCTGTTCTGTTGATTTTCTTCCCTTGGCAGGATCCCCATAACTTCTCCCTGGGGGAAATGGCGCTTCCAAAGCCCGCCAAACCCAGCCTGGGAGCTCTAGGATTTATTAGAGTAATATTTTAAACATAACCCCGGGTTCTCCTTACGTTAAAGGCATCTGTGCTCTGATGGCAGCGCTAGGTTTGTAGTTTGTAACCAGTATGGAGAGCAGGATTTTAAACCAGTAAAATGAATAAAAGAAAGAACAGCCAAATCTCGCCGCCCGCCAACTGCTAGTCATTTCCAGCAGCATATGGGACTATTCTCTTACTTGTCCTCGCCCCTTCTTCCGCAAAAGCAAAAGCAACCAAGCCTGTCCCGCTTCATAGCAACCCGGCTCTTTGTGCCTAGCAGTGCCTCAACCACAACCACTACTCCCTCCAGCTCCCGCCTCCTCCTCCTCCCGCCTGCCGCTGGCTTTCACCTACGGAGAGACGCGGCTGGTGCCCTTTGCGCCTGAAAGCTGGTGCCACGATTGGGCGACGGTCCCTGAGCCTCCCGTTCCGCGTCGGTTTCAAGGCTCCTCCCTCCTGGTGAAAGACAGACTGCGGGGCGCCTGGAAACCGGTCCGAGGGCGCGCGCGAGAGAGGAGAGGGAGCGAGTTGAGGGATTGACACAAATGGTCAGGCGGCGGCGGCGGAGAAGGAGGCGGAGGCGCAGGGGGGAGCCGAGGCCCCTGGGCTGCCCAGAGTTGTGCGCTCTACGGGGCCGTGGCCACTAGTGCGTCGCTGCCAGCGGGGAGCCAGAAAGCCGAGGGGCTGGAAGGCGGGACGCGATCTCGGCGCGTCTGAGCCACCCGGGCTCTCCCCGCCGCCCGCGCTTCATGAATCGCAAGTTTGCGCGGAGGCGGCGGCTGCGAGACACGGAGCAGGAGCCAAGGGATCGGAACGAGTGCGGCTTGGGCTCGACGGAAGGTACCAGCGCAGAGGCGATAGCGTCCGGCGCAGGGGGAGTCGCCACGGGCCGCTCCACCAACAGCTCCAGCCGAACGACGCCAAGAAAGGAGCCGAGAAAGTATGGCTGAGGAGGAGGCGCCTAAGAAGTCTCAGGCCGCCGGCGGCGGGATCTGGGAACTTTGTGCCTGGGCGCTCCCGGCCAGCCGGGCAACAGAGGGGATCAGGGACTTGAGCAGCCGCGGTCGTCCCACTGCTGACCCGCGGCGATTGGCGCGCCGGCTGTTGCTGCTGCTTTGGTTGCTGGAGGCTCCGTTGTTGCTGGGAGTCCAGGGGCAGGCAACGGGTCAGGGACCGGGCCAGGGGCCCGGGCCGGGCCAACAGCCACCACCACCGCCACCGCCACAACAACAGAGCGGGCAGCAGTATAACGGTGAGCGGGGCATCTCCATCCCGGACCATGGCTACTGCCAGCCCATCTCCATCCCGCTGTGCACGGACATCGCGTACAACCAGACGATCATGCCCAACCTGCTGGGTCACACGAACCAGGAGGACGCAGGCCTTGAGGTGCACCAGTTCTACCCGCTGGTGAAGGTCCAGTGCTCCGCCGAGCTCAAGTTCTTCCTGTGCTCCATGTACGCGCCCGTGTGCACCGTGTTGGAGCAGGCACTGCCACCTTGTCGCTCCCTGTGCGAGCGCGCGCGCCAGGGCTGCGAGGCGCTCATGAACAAGTTCGGCTTCCAGTGGCCCGACACTCTCAAGTGCGAGAAGTTCCCGGTGCACGGCGCCGGAGAGCTGTGTGTAGGCCAGAACACGTCGGACAAGGGCACCCCGACACCCTCACTGCTGCCCGAGTTCTGGACTAGCAATCCCCAGTACGGCGGCGGAGGCCACCGCAGCGGTGGCGGCGGCTTTTCCGGGGGTGCCGGCGCGTCTGAGCGAGGCAAGTTCTCCTGCCCGCGCGCCCTCAAGGTGCCCTCCTACCTCAACTACCACTTCCTGGGAGAGAAGGACTGTGGGGCGCCCTGTGAGCCCACCAAGGTATACGGGCTCATGTACTTTGGTCCAGAGGAGCTGCGCTTCTCGCGCACATGGATCGGCATCTGGTCTGTACTGTGCTGCGCCTCCACACTCTTCACGGTGCTCACGTACCTGGTGGACATGCGGCGTTTCAGCTACCCAGAGCGGCCCATCATCTTCCTGTCGGGCTGCTACACGGCAGTGGCAGTGGCCTACATCGCTGGCTTCCTGTTGGAGGACCGGGTGGTTTGTAACGACAAGTTCACTGAGGACGGGGCGCGTACGGTGGCGCAGGGCACCAAGAAGGAGGGTTGCACCATCCTCTTCATGATGCTCTACTTCTTCAGCATGGCCAGCTCCATCTGGTGGGTGATCCTGTCGCTCACGTGGTTCCTGGCAGCCGGCATGAAGTGGGGCCATGAGGCCATCGAGGCAAACTCGCAGTACTTCCACCTAGCTGCCTGGGCTGTGCCGGCCATCAAAACTATCACCATCCTGGCACTGGGCCAAGTGGACGGCGACGTGCTGAGTGGGGTGTGTTTCGTGGGGCTTAACAACGTGGACGCACTGCGCGGCTTTGTACTGGCCCCCCTCTTCGTGTACCTGTTCATAGGCACGTCCTTCCTGCTGGCTGGCTTCGTGTCGCTCTTCCGAATCCGCACCATCATGAAACACGATGGTACCAAGACCGAGAAGCTGGAAAAGCTCATGGTGCGCATCGGAGTCTTTAGCGTGCTCTACACAGTGCCAGCCACAATAGTCATTGCTTGCTACTTTTACGAGCAGGCCTTCCGGGACCAGTGGGAGCGTAGCTGGGTTGCCCAGAGTTGCAAGAGCTACGCCATCCCCTGCCCCAACTTCCAGGCGGGTGGGGGCGCCCCACCGCACCCACCCATGAGCCCCGACTTCACAGTCTTCATGATCAAATACCTTATGACACTGATTGTGGGCATCACTTCGGGCTTCTGGATCTGGTCCGGCAAAACCCTCAACTCTTGGAGGAAGTTCTACACCAGGCTCACCAACAGCAAACAGGGGGAGACCACTGTCTGAGACCCTCGGGCTCAGCTCACTACCAGTGCTCCCCACAAAGCTGGCTCCTTGGAAGCCCTTCCAAGCCTGATTTACACACTTCCACAGGCTTCTTTTACTAACAGCACCTGCAGAAGCATCTGTCCCTGGGGCAAAAGGCCCAAGGGGCCCAATTGCTGAGGCAGATGGACTGACTCTCTTGCCCTCACTCTGGTACCAGGACTATCCGCTTTTTTGATTGTAAATAGCCTGTGTAAGATTTTTGTAAGTATATTTGTATTTAAATGACAGCCAGTCACGCGTTTTTTGTTTTTTAAATTTTAATTATTTAGAGTGGTTTAATTATTTGAAGTTTTTCCTTCTTGCCCTTTTCAGAGTACTCCAGAAGGGGGTGGGGGGACGAAGCACCCCACATACACACATACACACACCCACACACATCTCCCCTTGTTCTGGCTGGGTGCTCTCCCAAGCACCTCCCTGCCATGGGTACTTTAGGAGGTCAGCCTAAGGCAAGCCCAGCCCAGCCCAGCCCAGCCGGTGTGGCTCAGGCTGGCTCAGGCTGGAGACCAGGGGAGACCAGGGCCACTTCCCGAGTCCTCTGTCCTCTTTCTTCCTCCCTTCCCCTCTCTGCTTGGGGTGGGGACTCTTAAGGTACAAAACTCCATAAAGCTTCCAAAGTCAGGGGTGTGCCCCTTTCCATCCCAGTTCAGCCCTCACCCAGGGGCAGATTTCTAAGGCCTTGTCCCTTAGACTTCCTGAAGCTGACTTTTTTTCCAGTTAGACCTTTCTCCCTGAGCCTCATTGTGGCCAGTGGATGTGGGTGCTGGCAGCACTGTCTCCAACGCCCAGACACTCCTTCCCTCCACCTAAATAGGTTTACAGGGTGAGTGGGATAAATAATGCCAAACTTCTTGAAATCTAATTTTTGGTGAATGAGCTCATTTCATTTCCTAAGTCTCTCAAACCTGGTACGATTTGGTGAACGTCATGGAAAGATGTGGTTACTGAGATTTGGCGAGAGACAGAGACATGAGAGACACAAAGCTTTGTGTGGGTTGGGAGAGACTGAGGATGGAGGTTATAAAATGTTAATTCTAGTTGCATACTGATGTCTGGCGGGACTGAGACCAACTTAGCCATTAGGTTTTACCCTTCTGTAAAATGAAAACATTGAGGTCACCTGGGAAGCTTTGCCAAAGAGTTGACCTTTGCTTTCATTGACAGGATGGCAAAACATAAACTGACTACGAAAACCTTCAGGAGATTTCAGTGTAATGGACTGCCTCCAAATGACATACTATTTTATTTTTAATCAAATTAGACATACAGCAGAAACTTTAAAATGCAAAAGTTGTACACTTTCAACTTATTATTGTTCAGCTACATATCCTGAGGGAGGTAAAAACACCACCACAAATAATAAGCTGGTAAGATTCCAGGAGGTAAAGGAGGTGGGAAAATGAATGCAGTTAGCTTTTTGAATAAATAAGCAACGTAATGGACATGCATGCTAAAGGAAAATGGATGCAGGTCTACTGCATTAAATCCTGCCTGCTGCTTTACACATTTACAGAATCTTGTCAAATGTAACTCTTTCAAAGCCATTTTAAGACATTCTCTTCAGCTCTCTGTGAAAAAGAGGAGAAAATAAATCCTCCTGATTGTATTGTTTTAAGCATTTATCAAATGCAGGTACTTAGGAACTAAATTTATCTATGTCTGTCATACCCTAAAATGACAATGGTTTTTTTGAATTTGGTATGCATTTATTCTGTTCACTATCACAAGATCATCTATATTTATAGAGGAATAGAAGTTTATATATATAAAATATCATATTTTTAATTTCACAAATAAAAAAAACAAACTTTTGTACAAAATTATATGGTGTTTGTGCCTGAATGTAATGGAACTTGAACTGTCTACACTGTCTTTATATTTCAGTGTTTCATAAGTGAATTTCACAGTATAAAAAATCAGGAACTCAATGAAACTCTACTTAACTCTTCAGATTAACCTTCCAAAGAATTCATCTGTTTGTGCTGTAAAGAAAGACCTGTGAAGTCCCAGGAAAAGATTGTTTTCATGATAGTGAGAAATAGAGGTTTGCAAATTATTTCTTTACTCAAAGAAGATTATTAAAAGAACTCTAGTTTTATTATTAGACCTTTTTTTTCTTTCAAGGGAAACTTAACATTACTTTTTGTAATATGAAAGTTTATTTTTCAATCATCAGCCATTTTTGTCATAATTTTTTGAGGTATTGTCTTATCTTTTTCTATTATCTTAGATATGAAACCATAATAGGCAATCAATAAATGGTTAGATGACTGTTTATATGTATTTTAAGCAGCATTTGGGTTATAAACCATTTTTTTACTTGCTTCTAATGATTCCATTTTTATATGGTTCAAGGAGCCTTCTCCACAGATATTATCTATTTGGTTTATGCTTAGAATTTGCATGTATGTATGTGTATATATACATATAAATTCTAAGCATAAACCAAATAGATGTGTATATATAGATAGATAGATACATACATACATACACACACACACCACAAATATACACACTATCATTTTTATAAAGTAGAGATGCAAAGTTTACTTGTACATTTCATAATATGGAAATAAGGTTATGAGAAGTGGAAATTGCCAGATGGGAAACCTCAAATACCTTTGGAAAACTAGTCTCTTACTCCTTTACAGATTAAAAATATTTTAATTTAAATTTTCCATGAAAACATTTTGTAATATATGACAAGAAGCTAAAATGAAGTTCATACAATAGAGTTATTTTCCTGTTTATAAGGCAATTGTCTTATTATTAAAAGTCATTAACATTCATTTTAAGGTAAATGAAAAACATTTAAATCTAATTGATAAATAAATCATTCAATTTTAAGTAGGAAGAAGATGCAATTTTATGTTCTTTGTTAAGATAATTGAATATGGTAGAAGCCAAAAAGATTTTATTGTATGGCATCCCAAAAGAGTAATCTTTGGACCAAATGAAAACAAGCCTCCTTACTAGATCAATTTGATTAATGAGATGAGATGGTTTCTGGGAAAGTTTTTTTTTTTTTTTTTTTTTAAAGATTATTAGTCTTTCCTTAAGAAATCAATATTTTAGAAAGCTTTTTAATTTTTATCTTATATTTTTATTGTGGGTGGTTTTAGAACAAGTGTGACTATAAATTTGATGCAGAACGGTTTATATTCTGGATTTAAATAGTTTTAGAAAAGGTCTTTGAATTACTATTCTACCTTGTTTATAGAAAACTATTTAAAATTATGTAGTACATAGAAAGTCAATGTATTCTTTTGTTGCTTACAGTACTAGTGACAAAATAGGACTTGCCTGGACAACCATAAAGCTACGATGATATTGTTGCACTAGCATGCTGTTTCTATGACAAGTTTTATTTTCAGATGATGTGATTTGCCTATTTTATTTTTTTAAAACTATCCATTGGGGTCATTTCCTCCCTTCCAGTGTACTTAATTCAGCTTTTGGAGCAAATGTATATGCAGTGTGAAAGCTTTTTGTCTGATACTCTCTTTAAAAAAAAAAAAAAAAAAGGCAGTTTTTAGCCTATACTTGTTAAGGGTGGAGAGGCATCTATTTAATTTCAAAGACAGCCAATGCAAGTTGATGCAAAAGAGCTGGACTGGATGTTTCAGCCAGTCCTGAGTTTTCAGTGCTGGTTCTTTTGTCTCGTCTGCACAGAGCAGTGAAGCCTCCCACTGTAGCTACGCCATTCTTAAAAGTCTAGCTTTAACTAGGGAAGTGAAGAGTTGGTGCCCAATTAGGAAAAAAAATGTCCAAACCACAAATCATTTTAGGACATGACTTCAGATCACTTTTCCTGATACCATGTTTCAATCTTGATACACATTTGTTTTAAAAATATGGTGCCATATTTTCTATGTTTATGTTTTTGTATTTAACTTCAACTGCTCTTTTTATTTATTATTATCCATTAGCTATAGGTCATGCTTATGTAATTTACATGTAATTAATTAGAAGTAGTGATATCCCTGATATTTCTAATTATAATATTCCACAAAAAAGTCTTAGATAGAGTTCTTAGTCTATAAGAATTATTCTATAAGGGTGTGCATTTCAAAGTAGAAACAAAATGTGATCATTACATACGTCTAGAGGTGGTCACTACTAATGCCATGAAACACTTAGGAGAATACACTAATATCAGAGTTTTACAGGAATAACCCTGTAGAATCTGAAATAAGATGTGGACTACATGGTCCTGATGTGGCACCATAGGATAGGCACTGAACTATTAACCACCAGGTTGGCAGTTCAAGCCCGCCAGCTGCTCCTTGGCAACCCTCCACAGGATCGCTGTGAGTCAAAAGTCACTTAATAGCAACAACATAATGTTAAGAATTATCCAGTTACTTTACTAAAAAGAATTGAAAACGCTACCATGAATTCAAAGCTTTCATTTGAATACTTTTATATTAGAAATGAGATGTTACTAGAGATGTGCTAAACATGGTACATTTTAATTTTGGTGACTTCCACATTTTAAACTGTTGGCAGATGCCAATAGCACATAAAATTTGAAAAACAGTACTTGAGCTCAAATAATGACTCAGAATTCCTTTAAACATTTTTAGGCTTAAATATTTGTATTCACATTGATAATCCCTTTTTACAATCGATGGTTTAAGCCATAACAGTTATAGAAATAAAATAGCTTACTTAGAACTTGGTTATTATAAGACAACCTCCAGACTAAATTTCCTAGGTTTTATCACAATTTGTGGTGACAAGTATCCCTACTCACTGCAGAATCAAGCCCTGGTGTGGCACTGTAGATAAGCACTGGACTGCTCACCTTAGGTTAGTGTTTGGAACCCACTAGTCCTTGTGTGGTGCTATGGATTAATGCACCAGACTGTAAAGTCATTTGAACTGCAAGGTCGGCAATTCAAGCTCACCAGCTGCTCCTTGGAAACCCTATACAGGGTCGCTATGGGTTGGAAGTGACTCAATGGCACTTAACAACAACAACTTTGAACATATAATAAACATTCTGAGGATCATCATCAACTTTATGAGTGACATAGTTTCTTAAACTGCTTGAAAATGTACCATTTTCCAGTAAAGACTTTTCTAAATCTTTAATTTTAAGATGGTAGTATTCTAACAAAGTCTTTTTGAATGATAAAATGCAACTAACACTACATTTTCTTAAGATCTCATTAATCCACTAGTTGAATGGCATATATGCGTAACATACTTCTAGAAGTAAA